TGGATCTTGAATTTCTGAATAATATGTGCAACTGTAGTCACAGGAACATGAAGCTGCTTGGAGATGGTCTTATAACCTTTACCTTTAACATGCTTGTCTATAATTTTCTTTCTAATTTCCTGAGACAACCCTTTCCATCACTTCCTCTGGTCCATGTTGAGTGTGGTACACACCATGTCACCAAACAGCACAGTGACTACCTATAGCCCTATATATAGGCCCACTGACTGACTACAAGAATGTAGACACCTGTGATGCTTATTATTTATTTTTTAAAATAATTCTGTTGAAGAATGTGTGAAAATCAATGTCTGACTTTCATTTGTTCATTTTCATAGAATTTTTATTCATTATTATCTATGTCAAATTCAAGTTATTTCTGTGACCATTGTAGGTTTTTCTTTCATTAACCGAGTGGTACCAACAATTTTGTCCACGTGTGTATATTAACAAAATGAAAGGTTTCTGAGTGTGAGTAAATAAATTCTGGATCATAAAGTAAAAACCACAACATTCTTAAGATGTCCCACATTTACACTTGGAACTAAATGGCATACTATATAGGTGATGTATTCCAAAAATACTTAGTTTAGCTTGTAATAGCTAACAGCTCAACAGACACTCTAATAAGAAACAAATACAAAATGTCATAACAAAGCTTTTAGAACAAACTTTTGCTTATTTATGCAGTAAAGAGTCTTCAGATTTAAAGTAACTGATGCGCTGTTGAATTTGTGAGTGGGTGAGTGAGAGGTGGCCTAAAAAAAACCAACCAAACCACATCATCCGCAAAAAGCAAAGATGAGATGAGATGGGAGGAACGGCTGAACAGAAACTAACACACAGAGACCAGAAAGCTGTAAAAAAAACACTAAGCAGAACATAACTAAAACCGAAAAGGATACAAACTTAGAAACAGAACAGTAAAATAAAAAGAAAATGGAACACAGAACAAAATGAAAGCAAAAAACCAAAAATAAAACAGAAACCATGTTTTATTTTGGTAACTGAAAACCTTAACAGTTAATTGGAGACTTAAAATAAATAACAGAATAACCACAAAATGTTTGAAACAATAACAAACATATTAACTGTGGAAAAATGCTAAATGTGAAAATATACCATATGGAAACCAAGCTCCAATACTGACATTTCAAAGCCTTTCACAAAGCCTTTCTTTAGACTAATAAAGTGTGTATATAAAAGTAATCATCTATAAATACCTACTAGTCATGCAGAAAATCAACACCTGTTCCCATATACACACAACCTTCAATGAAACAAAGAAACAACGTTTAAACGTTTAGGTAGGGCATTTAGTAAAACCTTAATTTAATGAACACAAATCAAAAATTAACCAGCTGGCTATTGTTAGGCATGTTAGTGTCATATTAAAACTTCATTAGTTATTATCACGGTGGCACAGTGGGTAATGCTGTTGCCTTGCAGCCAGAAGGTCCTGGGTACGATTCCCAGCCGGGGGTCTTTCTGCATGGAGTTTGCATGTTCTCCCCGTGCATGCATGGGTTCTCACCGGGTACTCGGGCTTCCTCCCACAGTCCAAAGACATGCCTGTTAGGTTAATTGGTCTATCTAAATTGCCCTTAGGTGTATGAATGAGTGTGTGCATGGTTGTTTGTGTGTTGCCCTGTGATGGACTGGCGACCTGTCCAGGGTGTACCCCGCCTCCCGCCCATAGACTGCTGGAGATAGGCACCAGCTCCCCCGCGACCCACTATGGAATAAAATAGATGGTAGAAAATGACTGACTGACTGACTAGTTATTAACAAGTCCTTTCCATAAATTCTTCTTGTAAATGACCCGCTTTTACAGGTAACAAGTTGCGAGCTTTTGAAAACCACTTTGCTAATTATGGTCTGATCATAGCAAGAAAGAGGTTTTTCCATATTCACCTCCTTCTTAATAATCTCTGCTCTTGTAGCTTTCTTTGTAGCGTTTGACAGATCAGAGTAAAAAAAGGGCCAGAAGGCTGTGGACAGCAAGACGAAGTAATTTGAATAAGTAGGAGGACATGTGAGGTAACAGTACCTAATGGTAGCTTGCTATACTGGTCATATATGAAAACAAGACTTGCATACAACGATTGAAGATATTAGTTAACTTTTATCTTATGTATGCTTTGACTTGTGTATCTAAGCTCTCTCCATAAAATATGCAATAGCGGGTCTGAGGAGCCACAGACCTGCCCCTTATGACTCAAGAAAAACCTGAGATCTGAGCCACAGACACCCAAAGACCCCCAGAGCAAACCCTCCAAAGGAGATCAGAGGAGAGCCCCCAGGGGAACCACTCAGCAGCCACAGTGCACAGTGCAGAAGACTCAGGGAACAGTGATGAGCCCAAAGGCCCCACCGGCACCCGTCTACACTTGGAGCAGATCCAGCAACGGACCCAGAGAGCCGAGACCCCGGGACCCATCATCCTCAAGCAGAGGCCCAACAAGCCAGGGGGAGCCAGGCCCCGGGCAAGCAGCAACTGGGAGTGAGCTGGCACACACCGAAGCACCCAGCTTCAGAAATCGAAAACCACCAATACATCAGTGGGCAGAGCAACCAGCCACCAACAGGAAGTGTGGTGGGGAGGAAATACAATATCTTCTATTTGTACTTCCTAAAACGTTTATTATTAACTCTTCATCTTTTTCTTTTTTTTAGAAATGTCCTCATCCAAGCAAATAAAAATGCTATACTTGGTTGGGCTTTAGTGGTATATGACATGTTCAGATGTTTCGTGTATCTTTGGTCCTTGAATAACATTTGAACAATTATTGCGCTTGTTTTGAAAAAAGGCCAGAAATATGACACATATGGAAATAGTCAATAAATCGCCTAAAGGTTGACTAGAGGAGGCAGAGTATTAAGGTGAACTCAGCCCAGAGCGCAACATGACAGTATAATGGCCTCCTGTGAAGAAAGTAAATAGTAAGGAAAATTACAGCAGCAGTAGCTCAGAATATTGAGAACATCTGACTGGGAGAGATGAGAAGAAAGCTAATGCTGTTGTCAGGACTTACCCAGGTGTGCAGCTGTGCATCTATGGGGTACGACACTAAAAGTATTACCTGCTTGTTGACTAAAAAGCTGGTCAGTGCAGAGCAATTTAGACGGTATGTGGGTGAATAGTTGTAATTTTGGTTATTATGTGAGATTTTCTGGGGGTGGTTTAATGTTTAGGGAATTCGTTATAATTTGCATTGATCAATGACCTTTCATGATGCATGTTTATGTAAACAAACAGCATGGAGTCTCCAAGAGTAGCTATTACAGTGGTGCTCCTAAAATATGTCCTTTAAGACTACAAATCTAATAAGAATGGGCAGAGAATTATTATTATGTACTTAACTGTTTATTAGCTGAATAGTAAGAGTAACAGTCTTGTTTTATTACATATGGAATGAATCCTAATCATGGTAATATGGGCTTATAGTTTTCATTGGTAACATCAAGTAATGAAGTAATGGATTTGCAAAACATCTATTTATTTAAATAGAAAAGGAAAACAAAATCTATTAATATAAAAATTTGGAGGCCCCAAAAACCTAGAGGACCTAGGCCCTGCTCCTCTAAGCATTTGCTGCAGTTAGGCAAATGCTTTATTATAGTGAAAAAGTTTCTAATTTGACATATCTTCGTTTAAACTCCATTAAAACATTAAGTAGCTAAACAATTTCTGTGACTTTGTCATTTTCAGACTCATGAGATCATTTAGCCTTTTCTAATAGGCCTGTGAATAATAAATAAAGGTAGAACTTAGGTGGAATTAAAAAGCAAATTACAAAACTAGAAAGTCTTCTAAAAAGGCTCACATACATTAGGTTAATCTGAGTGCAAAGTAAACAAGGCTATTAATATGTCATTTATTTGGATGGTATGATGAAAATGACAAGATGGTCTAATTGTC